TTAATGCAGCTAGATTTGCACAAGCTGAAATGACTCCCACAAATGAAACCATGTCATGCTTCAAGCCAATGAGCCCCATTTCTGAAAATAAACTCACAGATTTTGAGGCATCACTGGTTTGAGAGTATCCTAAAATCATAATATTGTAGGAAACTTCATCTCTGCTAGAGATGTGAAAGAGATTTTTTGCCAGAATTAGGCAGCCACATTTTGCGTACATGTCTGTCAGAGCATTTGAAACAAATAGATCCAAGCTGGATCCCATACGGAAAGTCCTGCCATGAATTTCTTTCCCAGTTTGAAGGAAACCTAATCGTCCACAAGCTGGCAGTACATTTGTTAAAGTAAAAGAATCAGGGGTTTCTCCATGAACTTGCATTTTTCTTACCAGTTCTATAGCTGCTAATTCTTGCCCATTTTGAGTGAAATTGGCAACCATGGCATTCCATGAAACAACAGTCTTCAAATGCATCTGCTGAAACACATTTAATGCTTCAGTTGGATGGCCTGATTTTGCATACATGTCAATCAATGAGTTGGCAATGAAAACATCATATTCAACACCTATTCTTAAGCTGAATCCATGAATTTCCTTCCCTAAATTGAAAAATTCCATCCCAACCAACACAGGAAGTATGGTAGTAATGCTGATAGAATCAGGTCTCAGTCCTGCTTTCATCATCAACCTAAATGCACCTAAGGCATCTTTATTAAACCCAGCATAAGCAAGACTGTTGATAACTGCATTCCAAGAAACCTCATTCCTATCCTCCATTTCATCAAAAACTTGCTTCAAAGCCTTCAAATTCCCACATTTTCCATATGCATCAACCAATGCGTTTCCAATCCTCACCTGAGAATCCAAACCAACCTTGAGAACATAATCATGAATCTGCCTCGTCATCCCCTCATCTCTGACCTCTGCACAAGCAGGCAACACGCTGACAACAGTCACCATATTCAGCTTATATGCAGACCTCGAAATCATCTCACAGAACAATCGAAGCGCCTTAAAATAAAAACCATTGACTGAAAGCATCCCAATAACCGTATTCCAGGTCACAACATCTCTTTCACACATTTCATCAAACACCTTCTCTGCGTCCCGCCAAACTCCATTGTTTCCATAGAACAGCAGAAGGGTATTCCCTACAAAAACATCACAATAAAATCCCATCTTAATCAAGCACCCATGAATCTCCATACCCTTTGCAACATCGAAATCATCAGCACATATCTTTAGCGCGAGAGGAAAAGTACGATCATTGGGTCTAACACCAATCCTAAACATTCGATTATACGTATCAAAACTCCCAGAAACTCTAGCAACTGATAGAGCCCGCATGAGAGTGTTCCACAAGAATGCAGTGTGATCATATGGAACAGTTTGCTCAAACAAAATGCGAGAAGTAGAAGGCGCATTGAAGTCGGCATAACGCAGGATGAGAGAGGCGCAGACAGCGCCATTTACAGGAAGATGGCCGTTGAGAATAGCGCAGGCGTGTATTTGCTTAGCCTGCAGGAGAGAAATGGCGTCGGAGCTTAGAGCGAGGAGGTCGTCTGCAGTCGGGAAAACGGCAGCTGTGGAAAAAGGTTTATGTCGACGGGGAAATTTGGTTAGATTAAGAAGAGTTTTCCGTCCCAGACAGCCTGATGAGAACATGGAGAAGAGAGAATGTTAGAAGTCCTTTTCTCTAGCGTATGAAAATGGCTTAATTTAATTTTTAGTTTATTAACTATCACCTTGATTTCATTTTAGTTTAGAAACTATGTTTTATTTCTAAGTGATTTATTAATTGTCAGATTCATTTCAATTTCGTCTACTTGGTCAAAGATAATGGAAAACTTCCTATTCTATTAGAGAATAGTTAGTTCTCTGATTATATTTTTTTGATCTTTTAATCCTTAAATTTATATTTGTTATAAAAATAATTTTTTTACTTAAAATTATTATTTATAGGCGCTGATACCAGATTTTTATACTGATTTTTCTATTTCTTTAATTTGGTATCAGAGCTTGAAGGTTAATAGACCACTTAAAAATAATAATTTTAAGTATAAAAATCTAGTATTATAGTCTAAAAATAATAATTTTAAGTATAAAAGCTATTTTTATAACAAATATAAATTTGAAGACTAAAAGATAAAAAAAAATATAATTAGAGAAGTAACTGTTCTCTAACAAAATAGGAAGTTTTCTGTTATCTTTGAACAAGTAGACAAAATTGAAATGAATCTGAAAATTAATTGACCACTTAAAAATAAAACATAGTTTCTAAACTAAAATGAAATCAAGGTGATAGTTAATAGACTAAAAATTGAATTAAGCCGTATGAAAATGCATAAACTTTATTTATTCACAAAAAGTAATCTTTATTCACACGGTATTGTATCCTACTTCTGAACTACCTTAACCTCGCAATCGTTTCAATAACCATTTTTTTCTTAGCCTATCATTCAATTTCATAAACATTCTGGCTCTCTTCTCATCTACAGAAAGAAATTCACATGCATCAATTATAAGATCGTCGTCGAATTCTGGGATTGTCTGCACTGTTGCAAACGCTTCATCCAACAATGTTGCACTGTTGCTTTCGGTTAGTGCATCGGCAATTCGACTGGTGTTTGCAGCTATGGCAGTCATCATTTCAAGCATTGGATTGTTCGTCTGTCTCCTCTTGAACGCCTGCTTGGATTGTGATGATGAAGTAAGTCTAGCTCCTGTCTGTTGAGATGAGGCCTGTGTGTTGTCATCAGTAACACCTTGGCGCATTTCTTCATTACCCGCTACCTCTAAAGGGGTTTCTAGGAGCTCTTCCTCGTTTTGAAGGGGATTCCTTGCTCCATTTTCAGTTTCAGATAGGAGTCTGATTGCCTCCTTATCGTTGTCATCAGCATCATCATGGCTTGTTTCTTCATCAAACAAAAGCGCTACAGGGGTTTCTAGATGCTTTTTGTCAATCTGTGCAAGATCTGCAACTCCATTGCCATTTTCAGATTCAAATCCGCTTGACTGCTCATCACCAACAAGGATGCATAACTCGGTGTAATTCTCGATAGGCCGTGCTCGTACACTGCTCAGGGCAGGATTTCTCTGGAATAAACGCAAGTTGAATAAGCAGCACGGAAACAAAATACTGGAAGAGAAACAAGTCAATTTAAGCAACCTTGTATGCAACATAGAACAATTAAGATGCTACCCTGAAGTAACTCAAAATTAATGGCTCTTAGCCTCTTAATATCATAATCCTTCAAGAAAAGTTGTTGAAGTAGGCACTAGGAAGGTTACCGTGACATGTCCCAAAGTTATGAATAGAATCACTTTCAACAGGACTGGTTATACATGTGTACTACTTCCTCTGCGTGGAATTGTTACGTTCCAAGGAACGAATAATGCAAAATGACCACCATTTGTGATGAAGAGTAGACGAGAATAAGAATACCTAACAGTAATTTATCTACAAAATTGATTCTAAGAATCTACTAATTAGTTTGACAGAATACAGAAAGTACCTCGATGTACTTGTTCCACTCTGAGTCATCAGCAATGACCATCTTCTGTCTCTCATCCCACTCAAATCCATTGTCAGAAAGGAGCTCCTTCACAAGCCCGTATTCTTTTTTCCATGTTTTCAGCCTGTATCTAATATCTTCCACAGTCAAGTCCAAGGAAAACTTACTGTTTAGGACTGCAAGAGCTGCTTCAAATGCCACAGGCTTAAAACTATTCTCAAGCTTATTTCCAAGCACCACTTGCTCAATCAGTTGTTCTGCCAGGCAACGATCCATCTCTTCAGTCCATGATACATACTTCCATTTCCTTTTAGCAATATCACTCCAACCACAATATGTATTCTCCACAGCTTCATTACCAGCATTTAAATTTAAATCGTCATCAGTACCATTTAGAGAACTTTCAGGCGGATCATCATAACCAAGAATAACTTGTAACTCATCGTAATTTTTGATGACTCGTCCTTGAAGTTGCCTAGCACCTGGGTTTGCCTGCTCTCAAAAGAAACATCAAAAATATTTTTAAAAAAAAAATGAAAAGAAGTGGTCAAAAGTATACTTTTTTCAATAGAAGCATGATAAAAGGACCAAGAACCAGATAGAATAAAAATACGAATACCCTAATATATTGCTTCCATGCAGAGTCAGTTGCTTTCACCATCTTTTCTGTTTCATCCCATTTAAAGTTGCTATGCTCCAGCAGTTCCTTCAGAATTGCATATTGTTTCTTCCATGTCTTGAGACGGTTCTTAATATGGTCTCTTGTCAGGTCAAGCTGAAACCTTTCATTCAAAGCTGACACAGCTGCCACTAATACCCGAGGTTTAAATTTGTTACATAGTTTACTTTTGTTCCCAAGTTTGACTTGCTCTACCAGAACCTTGGTCAGACAATCATCCATTTCATTTGTCCACATCATGTTCTTCACTTGATCTTTAACCTCATAACCATCATCCACATTGGGCAAATAAACATACTCTGCAACCCCATAATCATTGCCAAAGATAATGCACCAGTTCTCATAGTTCTCAATAACTGCACCTCGGAACACCCTTGCATCAGGGTAAGTCTGTAAAGAAAACACGAGTTAACAAATGATAATGTCTGAATATGGTTTCTTGAAATAAGGATGTAACCATCCAACTCAAATAGAGTACATGAACGTCTTGTAAATCAAGAAAACAATCTGATGATATGCATGCATTGACACACACTTATGAATACCTGATGGAACTATGAATACAAGTATGGTAAGGACCGTAAACTATACATAACAAGCACCAAAAATTTTTCTTTTTCTCTTCAAAGCTATTCATAATTATGCATAAATGATCATTTGCTTATTGCAAGAAATATACATAGTTCAAGCCCAATAAAGGGTACAACAAATAGACCTTCATTTGTGAAATGCCATCTAACACTAAATAATTGAATAAATACACTTACGTTTCATTGATGCCCTAAAAGGAATTTCATGCACAAAAATTTGGTTTGTAAACACAACATATACCTTGACATAGCCATCCCACAGTATATCAGTTGCAACAATCATCTTCCGTGTTGTATCCCATTTGAATCCAGCACAAGAAAGCATGTCCTTTAAAATCACATACCTTTTTCTCCAAGTTTTAAGTCGATTCTTAATATTATCTTTTGTCAAATGAGGCCCAAATTTCTCATTTAAAGATGAAAGAGTGATTTCATATGCCTTAGGTGCTAAGACATTATCCCTCTTGTACCCCCTTCTCACTTGCTCTGCCAGAACCTTTCCAAGGTAGTAATCCATTGCTCTCGTCCACCTTATCTTTGTCGTCTGATTGTCATCACTCTGAACATTAAATAAAATGGCCTGATCTAGAACATCTTTAGTGTCTTCAAATTGCATATCCATCCCCGCATCATTCTCAAAACAGCCCACTACCAATTGATCATTGCCAATGACAGTACAAAACTCATGATAATGTTCAATGGATCTTCCCCAGAATTGCCTGGCATCAGGGTGCCCCTGTCAGAAACATAAGATCATATCACAAATAAGCTTTTTCTTTTTTTTTTTTTATTAAGCCTCTATGTAAGTTAAACAATATTCCTGTTAGCATGTATGGAATATACCTTGATATACCCATTCCATAAAGAAGTATCCGCAACAATCATCTTCCGCTTCTCGTCCCAACCAAATCCTTTCTGAGCAAGGAGCTCTTTTAGGATCCTATACTGTTTCTTCCAAGTCTTTAGACGGTTCCTAATATGCTCTTTTGTCAAACCAAGCCCAAATTCTTTGTTCACAGCTATTGAGGCAGCCACATACGCTGCAGACTTGAAAACATTGTCTACCTTGTTACCCTTCTTAACTTCCACAGCTAGCACTCTCGCAAGGCAGCGGTCCATCTCACCTGTCCATAATTGAATGTTTCTAACCTTCTCTTGCTCATTGCAACTCCGAGGCTTACGGGCCATGATCACATTCCTGAAAACAAATTCATCTACTCAATTAACAAAAACATTAATATGGTCAATAATTTCATTTGCTCGGGAATCTCAGGGCAGCTCGAAATATCAAATTATCAGTCCTTAAACAGTAGTAACAAGCTGAGATTTTTACAAATTGCTTAAAATTTAATTTGAGGATTAACGAAATTGCATGAATTTGGAAGGCAATCCGAACATGAAATAATTGACTAGATGAAAAACAAACATTTTACAAAGTTGTACTAAACATTGAATTGAATTTTTTTTTTTAAAAAAAAAAAATCAATCTTAACCAACTGAAGTAACTGCAGACTGGTGTGAAGAATTTTGAGATTCGACATTAATTGCATTATGGTAGCAGAAAACAAAGGGAAAGGTAGTTCCATACACAGAATGATGATTGGGAATTGAAGAAGAAGAAAGGTAGCAGTGAAGAGGGTTACCTACGTCGGCGTTTTTAGGTCTCCGGCAGTCACAGAGTCGCACCCGCCTTTCTGATTCTCAGGAAAACAACCACTTCGTAGCATCGCCCTTTCCACCTCAATTTTGTCTTTCTTTAAAAAAGAAAAAAAGAAAAAGAAAAAACCTTTTAAATGAAAGAAAAAAAGTGCCTTGATTTACTGTATGATTTTTTTTTTTTTTACTTTCACAATGCAGTTTATAATATTTTTTATATATCTATAATTTTTTTTTGCAATTTAT